TAGAGTTCAGTAGGCTTAGCAGTGAAGGGGCCTTTTATTCTTCCCCAAATACTTTGCTAATCTTAAAAGCAAAGTATTACAGGCCAGTGGGGGTATCTAGTTCTTTGTGCCCCCAGGCTACACATCTGGATTTCTTACAGTATAGTCAAGTTAAAGCAACTCAGCACTTAGTTATACTTTGAAAAATAAAGCCACACAGCTCCATTAACCTGGTTATGTATGCTGATATACAATTTGATCCCTTTTTTTTAAAAGCCCAGGTTCTAGAAATTTCCCTCATTTCATGCATGTCACTAAGCCAACCCATGCTCTATGGTTTACCCATCTCTAAAACTGGTGACCAGGGCACCTTCTTCAGGTGTGCCAACCTGGGCCCTGGTCCCCCAGGGCACCTGCAGTGTGTCTTCCTGGCTAGTGTCTTTATAACTTCAACATGAAAGTGTTTCCAATCGGCCTGGGAAAGACCTCAGTGTACTTTCTTCTCTCAGCTCCTACCGCCTCAAGCACATTAGAATCTGAAAAGAAAACCAGTAAAATTAAACTGCTACAAGAAGTTGCAGGTTTAAGTGACATCTATGAATTATTTTTTGAAATCAGAATAATAATTCTCTGTTGCCTTAACAAGATTCCACCTCTCCTGATAAGCACCTTGGCATCTTTTATGAACTCAAATTTCAATTCACTCTTCTTTAGCAACTAAGACTTTATAGCCTACTTCTGCTAGGGAGTCGGGAGTTATAAAACTTCTGCTTACACCTGAAGCTGTTTGCTGAAAAAGACGGCATTTCTTTCAGAACATTTATCAATTTAAAAAAAGACATTTAATCTGAAAACCCATTTTAAAAGCTATCAGTCTCCCACAGGGTTATTTTTTTAAAGTGAGATGAGGAGAGGGAAATCGTTAAGTTCTCCTAAGACATACCTTTTTTTTCCTGTGTGTTTCTAAGGATTTAGAATAGTGTGGAAGAAGTGCCTGGGGCTTTTTACTCTGCTCAACCTGAGTTTGAATTTGACCATTACATAGGCATTGAGCCTCCACTTCCCCACCTGTAAAATGGAGTTATAGTGCTCTCACTATCTTTGAGTAAAGAGGTAGTTACAATTAATCAGGAGAGAAATGATGATAGGAATTTGGTTATAAGATTTTTGTACAAAGACTCTGCTCTTCATAGCCCATGATTTGGAAAGAGAACAAATGACAACTAACAGGTTATAATAAACCCATTCAGAAGTTGCAAAAATCCAACACTGGTAGTAGTTGGAGAGCATGGGAGATGGGCTGGAGCATTAGAATAGATTTTCACTCTTGTCTGTGTAGTATATTAGCTGAGGAACCTTCTGCAAGTTATGTTCATTTCGCTGAGCCTTGACTTCCTCTTTTGTAAAAGAAAACACTGTTCTATCATTCTTTTTATCTCTCAGAACTGTTGTGAGATCAGATGCAATAAAAAGAGTGTCTTGTCCACCAGAGAGTAGATGCTGCTGCAGGTGAGCTTGGGGGCTAAGCACAAACTAGGTGATGTGGTCACAGCTGGGTGTTTTAGTCAGCTTTTTCCACTGGTGTGACTAAAAGACCCAACCAGAATAATTGTAGAGGAGGAAAAGATTATTTGGGGGCTCAAGGTTTCAGAGGTTTCAGTCTATAGAAGGCTGGCTCCATTCTTCAGGACTCCAGATGAGACTGAACATCATGGCAGAAGAGTGTGGCAGAGGGAAGCAGCTCAGATGGTGATCAAGAAGCAGAGAGAGAGAGAGAGAGAGAGAGAGAGGTCTCCACTTGCCAGATCCAAAATAATGTATCCCAAAGACATGTCCCAAATGACCCACCTCCTCCAGCCACCCCCTACCCACCCTCTGTTCCTATCCAGTTAATCCAATCAAAGGTATTGATTCATTGATTAAATTAAGACTCTCATAACCTGATTTTCTCCTCTAAACCTTCTTACATTGTCTCACACATGAGCCTTTAGGGGACACTTCACATCTAAACCATAACTCTGGGTAATGTCAGATCTGACCTGAGACGACCCAGGATCTTTGGATACAGCTAAGATGACATTTTACACAGACAATGTTAATGGAAAGCAAGAGATGAGATAGTCTGTTTGGGAGAAATGTTTTCATAGTTTCTTTAAAGATATGTATTATGCCTGGTTAGGAAATTTCACTTCCGTGTACAACAAAGAAAGTTGAAACTTGAGGTAGGCTTTTTTTTTTTTTTTTTAAATTGAAAACCATGAAAGTTGTCATAGAGAAGTGAAAAGAAGAAGCAAGAAGTGAAGGGAAGGAGTTTTGAGTTCAGATCAGGATTTCCATCTCTCACTATTAAACCTAATATTTCAAAGCTTAGCATTTGCAGAAGAATAATCAGCCATTGTGCTACAATCGAAAACATCCAGGCATTGATTTGCAGAGGGTCTGAGGCTCCTCTGGTCCAGCCCTGTCTGGTGCTTTGAGGGAAGAATCACTCTTTTCCATGTGTGCAAAAGCCCAGGAGTGTCAGTGGAAGACCTCTTCTTTTTCAAAACTTCTGTGGTGATAAATGTGTAAGTGGGATCCCGTTAAGCTGGGAATTCCTTTGAAATGCTTGATTCTCATTTCTCCCTGTGGCCCAGAGATAGATCCTGGCCACATTTGGGTATGAAAACTTTTCGGCTTGGCTGCCCCTGGAGAGTCATGTTCTTTTTGAAAAGAGCTTTAAGAAATTGAAGTCTGCTTTTTCACTCAGGATAAGAATATCCTTCTCAAAGCAGGGAGGCTCCACTGCAGTAACAGGATCCATGTGTTGAAGCTGGCTGTTAATGTTCAGCATATGGGCCAGGGATCGTTCCAGGCAGAAATATGCCTCTAATTCTTTAAAGAATGCCCCTTTAAACTCCAGAAAGGAGCATTACTCAGGCGAGGGATGGGGTACTCACAGCTTCTGAGCTTCCTAAGGCCTATGGTTCCTGTGGAATGTGAGCCATGGAAAGCAATAGAAGAGATCCTGGCTGGCCTTAGCATGAGTGGTACTGTTCTGCAGCCCTCTCTTTAAGGCCCTGGGCTCCTCCAAATACCATAGGGCCTTATTAATGCTGGTCTTGCTCTGCATCTTAAGGTATAATGAAGTTGAAGGTTGTTACTCAGGATCCCAGATTGGTTGTTACACTGAATGCAAACCTCTCACCCTTTGCCCAGAAGCAGCACTGCATACTCAGGACCCTTACCTGGAAGCCAGGAGGCCTGGGCTCCAGGGTACTTCAGTCCTGACTAGAAATGACTGTAGGGAAGTCACTTCATCTCTCTTTCTCATCTGGAATGTAAGGAGGCAGGACAAGATATCTGAGACTCTTTCTGGATCTCCTCTTGTAGAACTGAGTGGCACCTCACTCCAGGGCCAGTCTCGCTTCCACCTGCGGACATTACAGCTCTGGGTAGCATTACGTTCCAGGACAACCCTGGGCACTAGGACACTACAGTCAGGAAAGATGGGGGAAGGCCTTTCATTGTTGCAAAGTAAGAATTTTAGTCCTGATCCCCAACTGGGTCATCAGCAACAGAATGAATGAGGGTGAGACTAGCCGGCCCCAGATCCCTGTAGTATTTCTTTCCAGTAGAGCACTTAGAAGGGCCTGAGCACCCCCCACTTGCCCTGATCATCCTCTCCCTGCCTCTTGCCGTGCCCCATTCCCTATCGTATCCCTGTCTCCTTCCCTTCTTCAGATCCTGGCTCTGCCACATCATCCCTTTCTTTCTACAGCTTCAGCTCTGGGTGTGTGTTCTCGTTACCTGCTTTGTTTGTTAGTGGGATGGTTAGGAAGGCTACAAATCCTCTGCTGCCCCCACACACTCCCTTCCCACCCCAAACAGACCCTTTGATCTCTGTATTCTGCTGAGCACAACTGTAGTCTCTTCAAATGAGTGCAGACCCAGAGCCGCAGCAGCCCTGCCTGCAAGTCAGTCGCCATGGCAACAAGCTTTGCCTCCATTCGACTGTGAACAGAAAATGGCTGTTGGAAGGAAGGGCTCACTGAGTCTCTATGATCCAGCCTGTTTTTGCTCAGACCCCTCCCTCAGATTGGCTTTGAGGAGCTCCATACATTGAACCAAATGTCTGTTAGCTTTTGGCTTTCACATTTGCTTAGGAGGAGGAGAGGCAGAGGGAAGTTGAATTCAAATGAAAAAAAAAAATCATTTCTCCTATCCTATAACTGTATTTTCATGAGGAACATTTATCTGCTCTGAGCAGATAAATGAGGAGCAGACTGAATACAGGAATCAGTAAGATCTGGTGCAGTGTATTTTCTTATCAGAGCAGGAGAATGACAGAACATACAGATATTCAAATAAAAATTCAGGGAAAAGCTGTTAGGGGATACAGGGAATTCCACAGGGCATAGACTACAGGATTTCAGAATTGTGTCTGACTAATTGTGGTGATGATGTTTGATGTTGTTTCCTGTTACGGAAATAGACATATTGGTCCTATTTTCTTGACTTAAGGTGGGCATCTGTTTGCATCCCCTGCTTCAGAACCAGTTTGAATCTTCACATTGACCCTCTCTTCACAGTGATTAAAGATGGTGGCCTGGGGAATTTGCAAGAAACTCCTGGGTATAGTTCTGGTGTGGTGAGCTTTCTGCTCTTGGTACAGCTATGGGGACACTTCAGATTGACATCCAAAAGGGTTTGGTTGGGCTGCTGTTTCTGAGTCCAGAGTGTTGCTATTTGGAATAGGACCATAAGCCTCCTCAAGGGTCAAAAATATTTAGGCAGAGGTCACCCCAGGTCTCCCAAGGGACCTTGCATTATCTCATAGGACATAGCAGTTCCAGATGTGAATGATCAGGGCTGTGTCCACTCCTGGCTGCAGTGTGAGGGTACTTTGGTGGTGACAAGTTCTCAAAATCCACACAACCTCTACCTTTCACACTTCCTTAAACCTGGGTTTTGAATGAAAGCTCTGAGTTTAATTCTCAAAATTTCAAATGTTTGTCTGAACTGGACTTTTTCTTTTTCAGTTTCTCTGCAGGTGGATATTGTTCCCAGCCAAGGGGAAATCAGCGTTGGAGAATCCAAATTCTTCTTATGCCAAGGCAAGTGCCCTCCTGTGTCCTGTTATATTTCAGAGCTTGCCTCAGAAATCCATGAGACATCCCAGCAGCTCAGGAGGCTGAGGCAGGAGGATCGCCAGTTCAAAGTCAGCTTTAGCAAAAGCAAGGCACTAAGCAACTCAGTGAGACCCTGTCTTTCAATAAAAAACAAAAATAGGGCTGGGGATGTGGCTCAGTGGTCTAGTTCCCCCGAGTTCAATTCCCGGTACCCCTTAGCCCCCTACCAAAATAAACACCCATGAGGCAGAGCAGAAGCTCATGAGTGCAAAACCAGTGGCGCCCACACCTAGAATTCTGGGTATGGCTCTGCTCCAAGGTCAGTAGTGTGACCCTTCAAGATCCAGGAGGGCTCTCAGACCCCCTTTCTTCCTCTCAAAGGCTGCCCTCGTGTGGTGCTATACCTCACCTGGAGTTCTGCTTGATGACTGAAGGAAACCCAAGAGTTTTGGAGGGAGATAATCAGTACAACTCTCAGACAGCAAGTTATCTCAGATGTCCTGTCCTGTCCTCACCCAGTAAACAACACCAGATAACAGTACTGACTTAGAAATAATGCTTCACTGGGTCCGTTTAAGTCTCATTTCTTAGAATCTGAGACCTTGAAAATCCAAGAAGGTCCACACTTTTCTTGAAAGTAGATTGAACACTGATATCTCTCTAGGTTTGAGTATATCTATCTTGGGTTTTCCAGGTCTATTGTGAATGCTGATACTCTGTCCCATAACCCCCACCAGAGCCCTGGGATATATTAGAAGTAGTGTCCTTGTTGTTTGTTTAGGAAATATCTCCCATTTCCAACAATTCCATTATTCCCATTCCCAGTGATTATCAGGAATCATCCCGTGGAGGGAAGAATATCAAATTAGGTCTCAGATACTACTGGGATCCGGAACATGGCAGACCAGAAGGAGTTGAGCTAGGTGTAAACTGTGACATTTAGCGAGCAGCTTTCAGCAGGGAGAGACCTTTAACTGCTAGCATGATCTGCACTGGATGAGGTGGCTGTGGCTGCCGGATGCATTCCCTCCAGCTTTGCCTTCATTACAGCAATTTCAATGATCTGGAGATGCAGCCGTGGAGCCCACAGCACATCTTGCAAATAGCGATATTTATTGAAAACATGATGGGCTCTGAAAGGAAGACTTCATTTCCATGCTAAGCATCTGCACAGGGCTGGGTGATGCGGGCTGTGCAGGAACAGGGCAAAGCTGCGACCAGTGGGGCCTAGAGCCCTTCACCCTGCTCCAGCCCAGCATCCATCTCCCCCTCTTAGGGAAAGGAGGCATGGGTGATTCTGACTAGCTTCTTTGCAGCATTTAAGATGAATTTGTCTGGCTGAGGCAGGAGATGCTGAAAGGGCCACCATGTCAGTGGGTACAATAGCTGTTAGACTCAAAGTGATTTGAATCTGCACTCCTAGACCAGACAATGTGTCTCATCCTTGTTTCATAATTGAATCCCTCAAAAATAAGCTGATTACCAGGTACCAAGGTGCACACCTGTAATCCCAGCAGCTTGGGAGGCAGAGGCAGGAGGATCACAACTTTAAAGCCAGCCTCAGCAACTTAGGAAGGCCCTAAGTAACTTAGTAAGACTCTGTCTCAAAAAATAAAAAGGGCTAGGGATGTAGCTCACTGATTAAGCACCTCTGGCTTCATTTCCTGGCGCCAAAAGGGGGTGGGGGCACAGGCTGATCAACTGGTTCAGATTAACTCAGATCTTAGATATACCAACTAATTTACTTCCCATTCTTTGAGGCATGTAAGTTCCTAGCTTAGCGACCAGCTCATCATAGGTTCTCAGCAAATTTGTCTTCCCTCACTAAGGATAGGAGGATAGGACCACTATAAAGCAATATGAGAGCAAGTAATTGTTGAGCTTTCCAAATACTTTAAGAAGTTTTATGTATATAATAATTAAGCACAGAAGCCAGAGGAGATCTGAGCCATGTTTTGACATAAATGGTCGTCGCTGCCTGGCTATGCAACCTTGATTGTTTGGTTGGTTATTCAGTGGCTATTACTGTGTTGCCACTGTCACTCTGAAGGGAACTTAGTCTTTCTTATTTCAGTGGTTTGAATATAATCTCTTCCTGCTCAGTGGCAGGAGATGCCAAAGATAAGGACATCTCCTGGTTCTCCCCCAACGGAGAAAAGCTCAGCCCAAACCAGCAGCGGATCTCGGTGGTGTGGAACGACGATTCCTCCTCCACCCTCACCATCTACAACGCCAATATCGATGATGCCGGCATTTACAAGTGTGTGGTCACTGGTGAGGATGGCAGCGAGTCCGAGGCCACCGTCAACGTGAAGATCTTCCGTAAGGGCCTTTCTCTTCTGTGTTCTCTGTCCTTTCTTTGGTCAGCAAGACACATGAATGGGTAGTAGAAAGCATGAGATGGCCATAACGCGACCAGTGAGGGCCTGACACCATGATTTTTCTCTTCCTGAGTCTTTTCTGGCCTCACTCAGAGTTCCAGTACATTCTCAGATGGTCCTTGGCCAACCCACAACCCTGATTCCCACTGGTCACAGCTACCCTCTACTGACTTCTGTTTTCTGAATTCAAATTACACATTTTCCAGAGAGCTATTATGGACTCTTCTGTGCTTCCCCCAGTGTTGACCGAAGGGTGAACAGTTCAGGCTTTCCCTTCTTATTCCACTTTTCCCTGCTAATTATAGAGCCCAAAAGCCCAAGTAGGTGTGGGATCATTATTGGAACATTGGATGCCATTCAGTGCACACCATTCCCACTGCCGCTAAAACCCTGTCGGGAGGTGGCATCTCATTACCTTGTTATCATACTTCTGTCCCGTAAGCCAAAGTCACTGTGGGTGACAGCTAATGGAACAATATTGATTGCCACAGTATTTATTGCCATTAAGTGTGCTCTCCTTCTGTTCTTCAGAATTCTTTCTGCTGTAGGGAAGATGGAGTGGGGCTGGGAGTAGGCACAAGAATAAGAGACAAAGAAAAGACTGGTGTCACCTCTCATTGTAGAATATGCATTACCCTTCATTAGCATCATCCCACATGGAAAAAAATCCTTGGTGAAGGCACTGCTTACATAGAACCTTTTCTGAACAAACTAAAAAATTCAGCCCTCAGTAGATATTGGTTGCTAAACAATGGTGACATCCCCCCCTCCATTACCACCTTTGGGCTAGCTGCTCTACTTCATATCTGTGACCAAGTACTGAGTGGGACACCCTCCTGTACAACAGTATATATGGGCAGAATCTTGCCTGGGACTCAAGTCCAGACAGCATGGCTCTAGTGGGAAGGGATCTTGTGGGAGAACCTGCTGTCCTCCTCACTCTCCTACTCATTTTCCAGAGAAGCTCATGTTCAAGAATGCACCAACCCCACAGGAGTTCAGGGAGGGGGAAGATGCCGTGATCGTGTGTGATGTGGTCAGCTCCCTCCCCCCAACCATCATCTGGAAACACAAAGGCCGAGATGTCATCCTGAAAAAAGATGGTGAGACTTCAATTTCCTGGTAGTTGCCTTTCCCTTGGCTACCAAGTTATCTAGGTTTCCACCTCTACCAGTCCCTGAAGGATTCTCATCCAAACTCAGATTTGATGTCCCCAAACCCACACGCAGCTTCCTGGTGTATCCCTAGCTGGTATACTCAGGCACCCGATTTTCTCCCCAGAACAAATATACATTTCCAATACACTTTTGCTCTCTGTTATATTTCACACCTACAAACACATTTTTTTATTTGAGCCTAAAGACCTACCTTATAATGCGAAGTTAGGAAATAAGAAAGAGGCTCAGCTCCCTGCCTGAAGATTCCAGAGTTCTCTGACTGATCCTTGGATGAACCTGCCTCTTGTCTCTTCTAGTCCGATTCATAGTCCTGTCCAACAACTACCTGCAGATCCGGGGAATCAAGAAAACAGATGAGGGCACTTATCGCTGTGAGGGCAGAATCCTGGCACGGGGGGAGATCAACTTCAAGGACATTCAGGTCATTGTGAATGGTGAGGAGATCTGTTCTTCCTGTTCTCTCCATGGCTACAACCTTGGTTCCCCAAATCTTCTAACTTCCTCTTTGTTCTATAAAATAAGTTCTGTCCTGACTCAACCATCCATCTTTCCTGAATGCTTTCCCTAGCATAATTTGTAGGGCCTTTTTATTTTTCATTTTTAATATACTTGCCTTTTGGGTCTCCCCTCATTTATGGGGGTGCTCAGTGCAGTTATTGAATGCCTTTCATTGCCTTACAGCACTGGAAACTTTCTCATGCTTACTAATAAGTTCATATTCATCCTCATTGTCCTTGATGTTACAGTAATTGTGAAGTTAGTCCCCTTGGTTCAATGTGAAGAGAAAATATTACAATCAATTCAGGTCTCAGAATAGTCAGAATCATGGTCCATGGGCTTATTAATCTTAATTTGCAGAGTCAAATAAACACACCCGTGGAATCGATCTGACATTTACAAGATGTTTACAGGAAATTATAATGTCAGTACTAAGAAAATAAGTAAATCATGTCTGAATTGTTCTGGCTATTGATATGCATTTTTTGCCAAACTCTCCCCCTCTCATTCCTTTGGTAAAAACAGTTTGTGCACAAAGTTGTTTATGACAAGTCCAAAGAAATGTCACTCTTTGGTTTTGAGCTGGTGCGCTTCAAAATGGTAGTAGACTTATAACCACCAGGAATAGTAGTTTTCAGTTTTTTCCAGTATTGAGAATCCTTCTTCACATAAATTCTACTGACTGTGGTAGTTACTTAGTGTGCATTGACTAAGAACATATATAATGACAAATAATTACTATAAATCGAATATCACGTTAACATGAGTAAAATGTGATATTATAGCTTCTAAACTCTTGAAAAAAACAATAACGCATGTTTGTGGATAAACTGTTTATTCCATTTACATTAATTATTTGATGCATTAAATTTTGATCCTTTACATTAATTCTGCAGCCACCCAGGACTCTCTTGATCCACAGGCAGAAACTCCCTGACCTGGGAACCCCTGAAGTGTCTCTTCTCCAGCCATTAGTTCTCCCAAGTTTTCACAACCATGCCTAACATCTTTCTTTCCTTTAGTGCCACCCACCGTCCAGGCCAGGCAGACCATTGTGAATGCCACCGCCAACCTGGGCCAGTCTGTCACCTTGGTGTGTGATGCTGAAGGCTTCCCAGAGCCCACCATGAGCTGGACAAAGTAAGAAACTGGCTGGTGTGTTGGGTCATGGGCTAGAAGAGAAGGGGCATCATAGGGCCCACTCCATGTTGGCATTTCAGTGACCTGCATACGGACTTCTTGGGAATATCATCTCCAAGAAGAATAGATTCTTTTCTGTAAGGTCCTCTTGCCTTGAGCATTGGATTATTGCCTCATTTTCAGTCTTAAAGGGGCAGGTCCAGAAGGAGGCCTCTTTGAAGCCTTTGTGAGTACAGTTTACAGCCATTGGGCAGAGTCAGAGGATCAGTGGAGGAATCAAAGGTATATGTGGAAGTAGACATTGGTGTCCTCCCTTCTTGTGAAAACTGGCCCTTTCCCATTGGCTCAATCTGCATTTTATGGAAACTAATTAAAAATAAACATCTTAACTCTCTCTGTGGTAAAAATCATAGTCCTTTGCATTTCTGTTTCTGTAGGGATGGGGAACAGGTAGAGAATGAGGAAGACGATGAGAAGTACATCTTCAGTGATGACAGCTCTGAGCTGACCATCAGGAAGGTGGACAAGAACGATGAAGCCGAGTACGTCTGCATTGCTGAGAACAAGGCCGGCGAGCAGGATGCATCTATACACCTCAAAGTCTTTGGTAAGCACAGTGGGGGTCAAGATCACTGCTCTGCTGCAGTTCTTCTTACCCTGTCCACTCTAGTTGGATTATATCCCAAAGGCAGCCTTTTCTTACCAGCCCCATCATCCAAGCCCTAGTCCAAGCCACCATCAAGCTCACCCCACCAGCTCAATAGCCTCATAGCCGTCTCCCTACCTCTCCCCCTTAGACCCCTTCAGTTTCTTTCCCTCGTGGCAGCCAGCATGGCCTAAGTGCCACTGCACTTTTCAAAATCCTTCAGAATAAAATCCACAATGTATCCAGAATAAAATCCACACTGCTCCACCTACCAAGCATTTGCCTTTTCTCTCCACCCTCATCTTTTCTTTGCTCCCTACAGGAAACTCTCCATCCACACCAGCCTTCTTTCTGTCCCTCAAATACACCGGGCTTGCTCCCCATTTCTGGGACATTGCATTTGATGTTCTTCTGCTTAGAATATCATTCCCTGGGAGCTGCTCAAAGCTGTCTTCTCCTCCTCATTATTCAGCTATCAGTGCCAACACACCTTCTCCATGAGTACTTCCTTCACTGCCTTGGCTACTACGGCTCCCCGGTCCCTGCTGCCCCCTGATTTACCCCAAAAATCTTTTTCATCACTTAATTATGACTGTTTCAAGCACTTATCAATACCTGAACTCATCTCATTTATGTATTTGTCTTGGGATTTGTTAATATCCCAGCCCCACTAGCACTTTTACTCCAAGATGGCAGAGCGCTGCCTGTTTTACACAGACTTCGTCCCTGGTGCCCTAAGCAGCACCAGACTCTTAACAGACCTTTGGTAAATGTCAGTGAATGACGGGCTGCCCGCCTCACCTTTTTGGCTGCCTTCACTGTTCTGTGTGAAACTGTTACAGTCAGAAAAAGAGCCCTCACTTTGTCTTTATAAACTCAGCAAACCTCCATGCACTTCAGAACTGAAATACATTTTGACCTGACCTTGAAAAATGAATTTGTTGCAATGAGATGTTTACCTTGATAGGTCTCAATTTTGTCTGCTTATCTGTTTAAAAAATACCGATAAGCTGGTTTACTGTAGATGGTGCTGCTGGGGTACAGGTGCCTGAGGGGCAGCTCTGGGACCTGTCCCTCCCAGGTAGTTGAGATGTGTATCTGGGAACCAGCCTTGGGACTGCTTATTTAACCTGATCAAGAGAACTGTGTAATATGTAAACATGCAGTTGAGAATCAAGTGTTTATATGCAAATAGTCCTGCATAATCATAGATGAATTTTATTTATTCATCTCTGATGGTTGGGTTTAGAAATAACTTTTGGTTTGTTCAAGGTACCTGTATGTACTTGAGAGTGAAAGTTAAATTTCATAAAAAAACATTCTGGGAAATTTTTTCTGTAATTCAGACTAATCTTCCCCAGTCACTCTGATCTTATTAAGTTTTTCCATATTGTAGGAAAAGACAGATGCATTTGTTTTTCTTTCTTTTAACAAATATTTATTGAACACCAATGCTGCTAGACAAAGGAGCTACAGAGATGAGTAGAATTTGACTCTGAGAAGCACAAAGGAGAAAAACATACAAGCTTCTAAATGATAATAGATAGTGTCAGTCCAGGTGACTGCTGTGGGCCCAGCCAAAGTTGCAAAGATGAATGACAGGGACTCTGTTCTCATCAGTAGGTTCACGGGATAGTGTAGATGACCAATGCAGAAATTTTAAATAACAACCCTTATATTGATTTCATAATACCAATATGTGCAATGTTTTTTAGGGGAAAAAAATGATCTCTGATCTCATGTGATAAAAATGAGAGAAGTCATTGAAACAATGTGTTGTTTTGTAGGTGGGAATTACAGGTGAAGGAGGGCAGGGCAAGCATTTCAGGACTCATGTGCAGCTGCAGAGGCAGAAAAAGCAGCATGGTGTTGCATGACAGCTACTTGTGGACAGGGGCTGTGTCTGTTTTGCTCACAGATATGTCCCCAGCACCTAAGACAGTAGCTAGCATACAGAAGGCACTAGCATTTGAATAAGTCAAAGACAAGGCATTAATCCATGGGAATGAAGCATAACTTATGTGGCAAGAAGATGAGCCTGAAATCATGTCATCATCACTTGTCTTTAGGAAATGCTTTGGGACATTACTCTTCTAAAGTAATAATAATAATACCCAACACAAATAAGCATTTATACTGTGCCAAGCACCATGAAGCACTATCAATAAATTAGCTCTTTTAATCCTCATCACAACCCTATGAGGTAGATTTTATTATTATCCCCATTTTACAAGTGAGCACAGACAAATCAAATGCCCCTTCCAAGGATCCAGGATTCAAACCAAGGCATTTGGCTTGTAAATCCATTCCCTGAACTAACTAATGGCAGTTACTACTGCCCAATTCCATATGCCAGTGGCAATCACACCATCTGAATTGCCTAGGGTATGCTGAGTAACATGAGGATGAGGTGCTCTCTTCACCACCATGCTCCTCATAGACTATCTACACACTGAGCTCTAATGTGGCTGGTGGAGAACAGCTCTTGGCTCCTCCCCCAGGTCTTCTGGTGACAGCAGCTGCCCCAGGAAGGAAAGATGGGAGGTGAGTAAGGGGTCATGGTAGAATGAAGAATCAGAGCAAGGAAAACACAATGGGCAAGGAGGCCAAATAAGATTTGTCTTCCTTACCATCCTGTATCCTCAATCCTCGATGCCTATACCCCTCTGCAACATGCGCGTGTGCACGCACACACACACACACACACACACACACACACACACACACAGAGTTAGTTTCCAAAGACTGAAACTGGGAGAGTGGAGATTAGGCAGACCAAAGCAACCAGAAAAAAGGTGGCTTGGCTCCTAAAAAGGCAGGTAAGGAGATCATGGACCTGTGTTGAATCCAAAATGAGAATCCTCTATAATATCCCAAGGAAGTTCATACAGCCTCCTTGAAGTAAATGGTGCCTCATATACACCTCCCTTTCTACCCCCTTTCACCTTCTTAACTTCCCTTCCTTTCTTCTCCCCCATTGATATGGAGCAAGGGAACCAGGAGGGGAGGAGCCAGCTGATTAGGGCACCATCTTTCTTGACTCTTTTTTTTCTCTTTCCTTCTCCTTAAGGGTTGCCATCAGGGGCCACTACTGGGGAGAAGTAGGCCAGTTCCTCATCAGTAGTGGAATCTAATGAGGAGGAAGAAGAAAGAACACCTGTAGCTTAGATAGTAAGGATGAAGTCAGTAATCTTGTAGCTTCAGGAGGGGATGGAAATCAGAAATAAGGGACCTAACTAAATTAGACACTGCTGCAATCATGTCCAAATGACATCTTTTTTTTTTCCATAAGAAAATAATCTTTTCTAACATGCATTGCCTCATTATCAGCTAGAAGCTGCTTTTACCTTCCTTTAATTTTATCATCCTGTAAATCTGGCAGTGAGTTTCCATTGCTCCTCTCTCATGGGCCCTTATGAAGAAGTATTTTTGTCTCTGCAGATTATTATGCTCATGCTAATGCTCTTGAGTTCTCATGCTGCCATGGACTGAGCCAAGTTCACTGGTGGGCAGCAGCCTTGCTTAGCTGATTCCCCTCATGACTAAAGCAGCACTTGTGGGTGAAAGAAGAGGACCAGCAATGGCCTAAAGGAAGATGCACCTGGTCACACCTCCCCAGAAGCCTGTTCAAGTCTCTTCAAAGAAAGCAGGGGCCTCAGGTCTCCCCAGGGTCCTTCTTGGGCTAGGGTTGCCAGAGCCTGGACTGGAGTTGGAGTGGACAAGGCTGACTCTTAGCAGCAGACTGCAGAGTCATGGACATGCTTGTAAAACTCACAGGATGGCAGTATTCCTAGGAGGGCCCGCAAGGAGAGATGCAGTGGAACAGCCTGAGACACCGAGTCTAAGGAGGCAGTTGGACAACACAGGAGGATCCAAAAGCCAAGGACCCACAACAGAAGCTAATTAAGATGCAGCAAGGACCATTGGAAGATAAAACTGGGAGAGAAGTTCTCTCAGTGCTGGAATCCCGGGGAAGGGATTCTAAGCAGGGTGAACCTACATCTGTTCCTGTTTGCCCATTGTCCCAGTACAAATATTGAGAGCATCCCTGTTACTCCCAAACAGTATTCCAAACTCTCTGTGTTGACAGTGGCCCTGATTCTGAACTAAGAGGGGATTAAGCAACCAGTGTTGCGTCCTTCCAACAGTCCTCGGTAGACTACACAAAATTAGCCTTTGTTAACAATGTTTTTAATAAGAATATAGTTCGTCTTTTTCTGAGGTCTTGCACAATGGACCCTTTGTAACCATCTGGTAAATGGAGCCACCAAGACCAAATATTAATAGAGGTCAACTGACCTTTGTCTGCCTTCTGTTAACCTTTTGCTGCCAGGACAAAGTGCTCTGGGTCAGGGGAAGGTCAGCAAACACTATCTAGATCTCAAAATCTGCGTTTCAAGAGGCCAGAAATTTAGCCATCCTAGGACTATCTCCAGGCCCAAATAGCTGTTCAGTTTAGAGAATTCAGTTGTTTGGCCACATTTTATTTTGTTTTTCTTTTACTTTTTAGGGTGCTTTTGACAGTATAGGACAGTCAATTTTATTTTACTTGCCTCTTTACTTTTGTGTTTATTTTATTTTACCATTATTTTGCTTTGTTTTCTCTCACCCTCTAAAACCTCCTATTCGGCAGCACTTAGCACCTACTCTTTCCAAGTTGTAACCTCCTGCAAATTCGTATTTATCAAGATAGACACAAAATCTTCCTCCTGGAAGACTTCATTCACCTGCGCTCCATCAACTCAAATTTGTGATCATTTGGCCACATTGGATTAAGATGTCCTTATGTTCCAGCTAGCCAAAAAGAATTTTCTAAGCAAGCTGTCAGTACAGATTAACTTCAGGAGGATATTTGAGCTATATAGATTTTATATGGAAGCAGGCATTTGCTCCAAACAAACAAAAAAAATATAGCTCTGTCGTTGTCTTCTGTTTATCAAAACATCAAGGACCTCAGCTTGGAGGGTAAACACAGGCAGTAGTCAATTATTCTACTTGTAGTTCCTGCATGAATTTAAATATAAAGAAAATGTAGTTATTTCAAAAATTATTTATAATTCTGATTTTGCTGCTATTGTCATTCATCTCTCTAGCCCGGCCTTTGTCTCTATTAGTGAAATAAGTTACAATTGTGCAGTATTATATCTTTTTTTCTTCTACGGAAGGTTCAGCAATTTCAGAGTATGATTGTTTTTAAGTGGGAAAATTCAATTTTCTCTAATGTTTTAACGTTTAACTCAGCTTTTGGAATGCTCGTGTTTCTTGCATTACCCAAACATTTGGAAAATGAACTCATCTCAACTCCTCCTTCCCATCCTCAGCCCTCCATACTTACTCGCCTAGCATTCTTACTTGGGTTAATGCTAACACCTCCTAGTCATTAAGAACTGAGCCATTTAGCCTCCTTGTCATTCCTTCCTTTAATTCTCTCCATCCCTGCTTGCCCTGTATCTGTTCATTTCCACTTCCTCTGAAACTTCCTTCCCCATCTCTCAAAGCTGCCCTTTGGTCTCCATTCCCTCTAAATCTACCAGGTTCAGGACTCAGTGTTACCTCACATCTGTGTCATTGCCAGAGCTTCCAAATTGGTTTCCCTACATCAAGGTTTTCTCCATTCTAAACCACCTTGAATTTTCCTTGGATTAACCTTAAAGTATAAATGATCTTGGCACTGCCCTGATTGAACACTGCCCATGGGCCTCCACCGGCCAAAATGGGAAATTCCAACAATATAGCCTTGCCTCTCTCTGCTGCTGCAGGCTGCACTCCTCTCTTCCCAGCCCTCTCGTCACATGTCCTTGCTCTCATTTTAAGTCAAGCAGTTTTTTACATTTGGAATGACTCCATCTTTACCCCATAGGCATTAGCTGAAAAATCTCATGACCCAGCCCCAAAGCTGACTCTTAAGGCTTAGACCAGGGCCACCATCTTCTTCTGTTCCATGGTCCCTGCTGCTGTTGCCCTATCTCACTACACAGGATATGTTTTTATTACTATGATCTGTGTCTTGTCTTAGGCCTCTTTTGTTGAACCCTTTAGGAATCTATTCTGTGTTTTCTACAATACCCAGAATGGGTTCTTACATTTAATAAATAGATAACCTTTGTTGAAGGGTTACACATCATCATTTAAACCCAGTAAATAATCATATAAACTCATAGAAATGTTTTGTCTTTTCAGCAAAACCTAAAATAACCTATGTAGAGAATCAGACAGCCATGGAACTGGAGGAGCAGGTCACTCTTACCTGTGAAGCCTCAGGAGACCCCATTCCTTCCATCACTTGGAGAACTTCCACCCGAAACATCAGCAGCGAAGAAAAGGTATACTGTTGCCCAAGAGTTTCAGGGCCATGGAACACAGACTTGATGCACATTGAGTCTGCCCTGCCCAGTTCTTTTCGGTGAGCCAGAAGGGGGGGTATATGGTCACCAGAGGCCACAGTCAGGTCCTGCAACCTCCCTCCCCCAGCCTGTCCAGACATGGCCTGCTCAACATCCCTTTTAGTGGAAAGGGCACAATTCCTTGTATAGATGGGCAGGGGTGCTATGGTAGTGGGCATGGTTAAGTTAGGTGTTCTGGAAAGGAGGCGATAGTGATGTTCAAACCCAGGGTTGTGGATCTTTGAGGAACAAGGAGAAGCAAGATCCCTGTATACCAGGTAATATTATCATCTGGGGAGTACCCAAGGAAATGTCTCCTGAAAGTAACAGGGACCAAAATGAGCCTATTTTTTCCCTCATGTTTTGTACACTCATGCTGAATATGCACATATGCACAAAAGCTTGGCTGCCTTTGTGTCTGCCTGTATTCTTGGTCACATTTGGATTTCATTTTGTTCTAAAGGCAAAAATAATTAGCAGTTTCTAAACGATGATGTTGGTACCTGGGTTCTGCAATTTATTCACCAAGGGTTTAAGAACATCATAGTAAACTTCCTCGGAAATTTAAATGACTAAAAATGTAGCTTTAAAGCACATGGATTTATAGGCCACCGGAAAGCTCTCTTTATTATTGACAATATATAAAAATTAAGGTGACCTTCCCCCATTATGCAGCCCTTCGCTATTGAGTGGGCTGAAACCAGAAGGAGGAAAAAGCCTGGTTTTGAAGCAACTTCAATCCTCTTATGGCACTTGTCCAACCTGCTCTCGTATATCCTGTAGTAATGGGCTTCATTTTAGTTGACCAAAGCTTTGTTACCTGTTCGGGAGTAATGGCCTTAGCCTTAAAGAACATTTAAAATGGATTGCTTATTGACCAGAATGTCAAAAACGATAGATCTCTTCACTCTTCTGCCTGCTGAAAGGAAATCCCTAAACAGGATAAACTCAGCTACAGCCCAAAAAGAGGAGTGTGAAATACCAGAGCTAAATTTGGAATTTGCATTTGAGGAACTGATTTCTGTCTCGATAATAGAAAACAAAGCTAAATCAAAAGGATCAGGGATTGCTGTTCCAAATAGCCCCCCCCCTTTTTTTTTTTTTTGCAATTTTTCATCCAGAATTGAATTCAATGTAACAAAAACTCAACTGAAGAACTGCTAAATATTTTTGAAACTCACATATGCTGTTTGATATGCAAAAACCAGCTAGATGAAGAAATGTGGTGTTTACTTGAATACTTTCTTTATCAACAATGGAATTGAACCCTTAGCTAAGATTTCAGCTCCCATTGTGTATTATGTGGATTGAATATACATTTCGGAGTTTGATCAATAGGATGGATACTTGGCAGGTCTTTTTGCACCCAGCTTAACAGTGGACTTGTTCAGAGTGAGCCAGTCTATATCTTTGTCCTACAGTGAAAGACAGAAATATCTCTCTTAGTTGTAGGCTTTTAAATTCTCTATCTTTTCTAGGAATAGCTCAACATCCAAATCAGACCAGAAGGACTATTAAGATTTGTGCCTATCTCAGGTTCTTTAATAGGTTGGCAGGTCTGGCTTGAACCTATGATTTTATTTTTATATAATGAGAAAAGATAGAAACTAATACACACTCACATTTACTAAATATTGAGACTGAAAGAATCCAACAAAGGCCCTCTCAAGCCTAGCAGGTACCAGGCTTGCACTATTCAGTTTTAAGTATAGACCAACAGTCTTAGTCTGAGATAATCACTCATGCCCAGCCACATGCTCTGTGTTGTGGTTTCCTTTGCTGGTGACTATCTGCAAATTTACTTGAAGTGACATTACTGGAGCTCAAATCAGTCAGTGTCTAGAACAAGTCCTCCAGATCAGCCTATGATGTAACACACCAGATTAATATGAATTGTCCTAAATGAAATCCTCTATAATAAAATTTGCCATTTCTATCCATTAAATAGTGACATAAAAGAGGCATGCTATCCACCTTACAGAATACTTAGTTGCTTATTAAAAAAATAAATATGGTCATCCATGAGCAGGTCAGATTCCCGAAAATAAATTTTACTTTTATTTTGGCAGTCTCTTCATGTTCTCCAACTAAAGTTGCATTGTATTTGAGATTACTAGACTCCCTGACTTGTAGGAGTGGGAGAAAGCAATTTTCTTTTTAAAATCAGGATGATACACAAGACAGGTCAGAATAGTCAGTCGTATCTAATGGTAGAGTAAAAGCCTGAGATTCAGATTACATGGCATGCAAAACCGTGGATGTTCAGAAGGCACCTTTTCACGTCCTGAAATCTCACCAGCCCCGTCTTCTAGCATCCCTGCTAGAAAAGTCACCCTGGACCCTGTCTAAAATGGTGACACTGTCAGTCCTCCATAGGACAATTGGTCAACGCTGATGATCAGGAAGGACTTCTTCCTTGTCTCTTCCTGTACCCAGTGTTCCCCACCTCTGCCACTCAGACCTTCATCTGAGTCACTGAAATAGCACTTGAACTTTCCTCAAGTTGGTCTGATCTTCTTCCCTTAACACACCCAGCCATTTTCACTGTTTCTTCTGTCATGGCTTTCACATCCTTCACCCTTCTAGTTGTCCTGTACTAGGTGGCTTCAATTCACTAGTCCCATGCCCAGTGTGACCTATGCAGACTTCAGTAGGACCGTTGCCTTCTGGATCTGGACACCATTATGCAGTTAAAGTTGCATTAGCCCTTGAGCAGTGTCCTCATTCTGTTGCCTCATATTGAGATTGTGGTCAACTAACATGCTCAAGTCTTTTTTTATATGAACTTCACTTAAGCCATATATCCCCTATCCTGTTCTCATGCAACTGATTGCTTAACCAACAATGCAGAATTTTATACTTATTTCTGTTAAAAATTTGTATATACATGTTGTAGCCCAGTCTTACTCAGTAGGGTCATTTATGGCAATTTAGGAGACCCTTCCTTCACTGGGACTGTCCTATGCAATGTAAGATGGTTAGCATCACTGGCATTCTCCCCCTTAAATGTCAGGAGCCACTTCTAATCATTACTAAATTGTCAAATATCCCCTGGCTTGAGAATGTCTGTTCCTCACAGTCTTTCCAACCAGACAGATCTGACTTTCATCAGAAGTGTCCTTAGAAGTCTGAGAGTCAGAGCATCTCAGTGCATGTGGACCCCCCTATTTTATATGTGTATATTAAAAGTAATGAGGCAAGAGCTGTCATTGGTGACCCCAGCCCTAATCATAAGTCCAAGGGCAGCTAATTCAGTAGCCTTCCCAATGCAGCTGTCATCTAATGTTGGTAGTAGCTAGTGCTTCCCAGTTAGTGTGAACACTTAGTTGAAACATCTTTGTCCAAGTCACTGATAAAAATGTTTAATGGGACAAGGTCAAGTTCAGAGCCCTTAGAGTGCCTCCATGGCATGGCTACCCTCTCTGTAGGTAGCTTAGAAGGTGAAGTAACTGGTGCCACGAAGTCACAGGGCTCTCTTGTGATTCTGATGACTTTCTTGGAAGCCTCAATGATTCCTATAATATAGTACATAAGCAAATTAAAGCTATTCTGTGTTTTTGCATCACTGTTTCAGTCTGATATTTCCTTTCCTATGAGAAGAGGCAGGTGAGAGAAGTCTTTATGCATCACCCATACACACTTAGTAACTTGCTAATGGAATATCAATGTTCTTCACTAAAAAAAGAAGGAATGGACTTTGGCAGAATGCATTTCCATACATTGAACATAAAGTTCAAAAGAAGAAGAAGGAGGAGGAGGAGGAGGAGGAGAAGGAGGAGGAGAAGGAGGAGGAGGAGGAAGAGGAAGAGGAATGGGGCAAGCAAAACCTAGTGCAATTAATGTCACACCCTATCTTTGATCATATCTCTGAATTGAGTTTGATCACTGACTTGAGAATGATAATTATTAAGATTTAGCCAGTTGAGTTGGTTGAGTTCAACAATAATAGCTAGACTGTGTCTAATTGTTTGGATCATTCAGATCATTAAGGTAGATCAATTGTCTGACAGTTGGTCCATTACTTAGTGGTCACTGTAATCTTGAACAAAAAAGTGAACTTCATAATGGGCCAATTGGATGATGTATGTGAAGCTTTTTGTGATTGATATTTCAGAAAGTTTTTGTGCATCTGCATCATTTCATTACTCATCCTACACAGATTTATCTTCAACATTGCCTGCCAGGTATTTGAATGAGTGTTACTAAATTCCAGGCACCATTTATACATTGTATGAAACACAGGGATGATTATTTTCATACTCTATCCTGGCAGGAAAAAAATCTATCATTTGCCTATGTGAACACCTCTATGCCTTGAAATGATTATAAAGAAAGGTGTATGAAGCCTTCTTGATTAAGTAATGGAGAGAGGTGAAGTGTTGAGATGAAAAAAAGAGAGAAAAAAAATGAAGGGCCTTTTGTGAGCCTTGAATCTTATGCTGATAGAGTATGTCACAAATGAGACCTTTTGAAATTCTGGATTCTTTGGAAGCTGAAGCTTTTCTTTTCTCCAGGAAGAATTTCTCATTCGGTACAAGCCCAGAGCCTACTTTTAACTACTGAAAATAGTGACAACATAAAGCAGTCAGAGTCTGGTTTATCTCGGGTGTGGGCAAATGTACAATAAGGAATGCTTAGGATAATTAGAAAGATGCTTCACTTTAGTTTGTATACATATTCCTGCAAGCTTCTTGGGCATAAGACAAAAAATGTAAATAATATTAAAACAACCTAGGACTAACAATTTCTGGAGTATTACTAATAGTACCCTAACTTAGTTCCTCAGTATGTATATTTGCATATCAGAGTGTCTTGATATGGGCCACACCTTCACCAAATTATTAGGTCCAAGACATTTATGTCATTCCACTGTCACACAGGTAAGAGTTAGGCTACTAGAAGCATGGTGTCACTAGCAACCACTTATTCTAAAAGCCACAGAACCATAATGACTTGGGAGAAACACACAGAATAATCACATTTGAAAACAAACAACTCCATATGATACAGCCCTGGCATGTTTCAAACAAGCTTTTTAGTGATGTGGAATTGGCAACTATATCTGACGTGTTGGCCCACTGTTACTTTGGTCTATGCGTGTTCCTCTGTTCTCACTTCCTTCTTCATTCCAACATCATGTGACATAACCCAGTATTTCCATCCTCATTTCTCACAAAGCTCCTTGTATGTAGTAGACTCTTACTGTTTGCTAACTCATTTGCATTCCCTGATTGCATTGCTGTGTTTCTAGCATCTTCTATATCTTTTTTTCCATCTGAACATCAGGGATAATCAGGCAACCACACCACCTAATAAAAAGAACAATGCAGCTATGATGTCTTTGACTCCTAATATGAAAACAGAAAAAGCAGACTATATGCTCAAGTGCTAGATACATAAAAATAGCTAGATGAGAACGGAAAATGCCCCAAACCTCTATGCTGCGAGTTGGGTTACTTTCTTGTGAATGCCATATTGGATGAAGATGGTCCATACTTGAGCCCATGTGCCAACTGGGCATTCTCTGCCTTTAAGGACTAGAGCCCTACCACAGCTTCCTAGCATCCTTAAGCTTCCTTACCCACAGTCTCAAAAGACTTCATAACTCTCATTCCTAATGTGCCTCTCCTCTCCTTTATTTGTTCCCTTTTTTTAAAAAAAAATTCACTTTTAATAGAATGCATGCAAAGAATTATAAAGTGCATGAGCATAAAATGGCATTAGTGTATCTGTGATATGCTGTCTAATAAAACTCAGAGGAGGAAACCTTACTCTCTTAAGTATTTCTAGATGATGTGGTTAGAATCAGTAGTGTCATCCAGTACTATGAAGAATATTTAAGATGTTTTGCAACATAAGCAGTCTAATATGTCTGCTGGTATATGTATGTATGTCTACCAAAGATTAGGAATGCCTTTACGATTGAATTATACAAACATATAATTTTAACGTACTAAGGGGGAAAAAGCTGAACATAGGCTAAATCCTAAATTAAATTGGGTAATAAACACACCATTGAAAGTGGGCCTTGGAAAAAGTTCTGAATTAAGAGGAAACTGCATGTGCACGGAATGCAGTGTGGTACATCAATTCTCTAAAGCAACATGTTGTAAAATTTTACTGCTTTCTTGTTGTGTTTTATATCTTGTTCTCTCCAGGCTTCGTGGACTCGACCAGAGAAGCAAGAGGTATAGCTTACCTGACCACTAGCCAGTCTTTAGTTTTGAAAGCATTGCAGTTTAACTTACCATTACAGTTTAATAACCAGGCACGCTAAACTAATTAGTACTTTAGTTAGAGTAAAGAATAGGTCAATAGTGGTAGAAATTACTTAGCAATAGTGTCATTTTAGGATGAGCAAGCAAGCTGTGTTGGGAGTGGATGAACAAATCCTTATTATTTTCTAAAACTGGATCTTATTCTCTTGCTGGTGCTGGTAAATCACATCCAGGTAATTATACTGATAGAAATAAATTGCCCCAATGCCCAGGCCAGGCATTTTGAAACAATGAATTTTTTGTTTTTATTCTCACATGGTAGATGTGGCTTTGGACCATAAAGTCACAGAGTTAGTAATCTAAAACCTGCTCAGCCCTTTCCTTTCCAGCTCAACTCATCTTGTTGCTCACTTATTTTATAATGATCGGTCTTGGTAGATTATCACATCACATTTCATCTCAAAAGCTACACAAATGACATCTCTCATTGGTTTTTCCAAATTGCTAAACATGTCTGTTACTTTTATAGAGCATTAAATTTATGAGATTGAAATGATTTGGTACAAATGGGTTTATGTTTTGTAAAGTCAGTAGCATTTAGCCTTTGAAATTTCTTTGCTTACTTTCTTTGGTTTAGGTAATGTAGGACTTAGTTTGAAAACTGAAGCTAAACATTAACCTTTAGATTTTAATTGCTACACTCCCAGGCCCTATCTATGATCACTTCTGTCATTTTTTTTAAACCTGATTTGTGATTAAGTGACCAAAATAGTAAAATAAAAACCTATCTATTTTAGATGACATTCAAGGATCAAATTTATAAATACATTTTATTAAAATAGCTTTTGCCTTCTTTCTCCAAATGAGTCTAAGATTCTATAAGAATATAAACACAGAAGAGCCTATAGATTCGGTATTTTAATTTGGTAAACCTATCCTCTTAGTCTTTCAGGAATGATAATTATTCAGAGCACATGGCTCATGTGTTCAGGTCATGGTTATCAATATTTAATGCTGCTAAATATTTAAAAGTTGACTGCCTATCCCCAGGCACTGATATTAGTTTCTGCACATGAACATGCTGCCATTGTCAAATCCAGTTCATTATTAGCTCTCTTTGTGTCCTACCTTCCCCGATGGCGTAGGGACTGTGGTTCAGTACATGTCCACACTGAAATGCTTCACTCCTGAGGCACCAGAATCTTTTAGTGCCGTCACAGGCTGGGTGTTTTATTGCCCAGAAGTCGTCGACCCATTGGGATTGGGGAAGGAAGAGAAGAAGGGTTAATTATCAGCCAGTCTTAAGTAGATGCAGATCTCATTCTGCTTTGCCTTGTACATCTTCCTCCTGTCATTCTGACCTAGACCTGGTAAGAGGAGGAGCTAAAATTTATCAGAGAGCCCCAAGGAGCTGTTAAGAGATTTTTTTTCCCCCTTCTTGTGGATTGGGAAGAGAATTCTTATTGTAAGTGAAAATAATAGATTTACTCCCAAGAAAGCAGACACTGGATTCTGTTTTCCAAAAGTGTCTTTATCAGAAATGTCGCACTTTGGACATAATTGACTTCTAAGTGAATGCCACCCGTGGGGCTCAGAAGTTTCATTCTCTCCTATTTATCTCATTCAAAGATGAAAACCATAAGCCCAGATGAGAGCAAAAGAAGGTTTGGGTTATGGCCACTTTCATTCTAATAAGCTCTGAAAAGCCTTAGCACTTTTACCTGTAAGAAGAGAGACAAAAATGCTTTGATGGGAAGAAAAATTATAATCACCCTTCATGGATTTTTTTAAGGGCATCTTTTTTCCATAATGATCTTTTAACTCTTGCCCAGAGTTCATCTGCTTCCTCTGGGGCAGCCAAGACAGTCAGCCTGGCTTTTGGTCTGGATGGCTTATAGGTGGCACTCTGGGGCTTTATCCTGATGCCAGAATAAAACAATTTAGAGAGAGAGAGAGGCCAATCACACTGGAGTCTTATCTGCATATCCTCAAAGGGACAACTGGGCATCTGGCAAATAATCCCACCATCACACCTGCAGTGAGCCCCTACAAAATAAGAATTCTCTATAGAGGATTGCCTTCTGGTCTGTTGACATCATTAAACAAGAGAAATTTCCATATAGAGAAGCCTGGGAAAAGAGACCATATCGAAAGGGGAAAAACAAGTACAGCTGTCCCTATAACCGTTTTCTAAGCTGCTTTTTAAATGTTTTCTAGATTATTCTAAGTAAAGACTGCTCATCCCCCTACTTTGTTGCTATCACTGTCCCATTCTTACCTATATGACTTTCTTTCCCTATCTTTCACATGGAATTGTTCTCTTGGCTTCCTGGGGATTATGGCATAGGGCATAATGACAAGTCCAGTATGGGTCCAAAGAATCATAGTTCATCTCACGGTTGAGATCACTGAGATGACCAGAAAAGCCAGGGATGGGCCTCAGGTCCCCTATATCTGCTGGGTATAGGGGGAAATATGAGTGAGAGGCAGATCAGGTCAGCCTTTAGAGGTCCCTGCAGGAATGGCTTCATGCCTCCATGGCCCTAATGCAGACTGACAGGTAAAGATTTTTGTTTGGCATTTAAAAATAGCCACTGGGTTGGATCAGTAAGCACTGGCAGCCCACAAGAAAAGGAGTCCCGGGATCCAGAATCTCCAACAAATTGATTATCTAGGAAGTGCCCTACACCTGTCTGCTGGCATCTCTTATTAGTGTGTGCCATCTCTTGGGATGCAGCTTCTCAATCAAGCATCTTCCTACCTTCGCTGGCCCAAAGGGAACACCAGGGCATTGGTCTCAGGAAGGGGACATGCTCATAGCAGGAGGCAGTGATGATTTTGCTTGGCCCTTCTTCCTCTTACCGGCAACATGCTGTAGCTTCCAGATATGACATGTGATGGGGCTTAGATGACTGAAAAGGACTAGTTCTGTTAATGCTAGTGTAAGGAACTTCTTGTGCTAGATCTACTGAGCAAGGCCAGTGGTGCCTGGCTTTTGGGCTTCCCAGGCTGCCATAAGACACTACATCTCTGGACTTCAGGTTTGCAAACCAGCATATTAAAAGAATCTGAAGCCAGGTGGTCTTTCATTCTCTAAAGACAAGCCCATCAGATGCCAGATGCAGAGTACTGTCCTGTCCTTTTCTACAGAATATCATACACTGAAATGAGGGTGACCCAGCCTTCAAGGAGTCTGACCCCTTCATCAGATTACCAGCTTTCTGGAGGATCTGGACTTGGGCCATATGCCTACACCCATTCAGAGACAGCAACCATTTTACTTAGAATGTCACAAGTTAAAAACCCTTGGAGATATCCCAGTATTCATTGCATTAGGATCATATGCTATTCTCTTGACTGATCACTGTCATTCCAGTAACTCAGGAAGCCAATAGCAGAATTAAGAACTAGAAAATGGAGACTATGGTGTCAAGGATCCCAGATCTGCCTGGGGCTCTCTTTATCACTCTTCTTAGAGAGGGGATCCTGTTACCCTCAATTCTGTCTCGGCAGATCCTGAGCTTTGAATTGTTTGACTTTTTTTAATGGATAATTTCAGCTTTTAAGTATCCAGGAAATAGAGACATCTGCAGAGAATGGCTTTCTTGCATAGTTTCTTTCAGTGAGCACATTTGAAGTTCCTATCTCATGAGCATGCACATAGGGCTGGAGGTGGGAAAACTGGAAGGAAAGATCAGGGATGCATATTTCCAGGATCTCCCAAGGCAAGGCCATTGCTGCTGAGACCTATGCTGGCCAGGGCCTTTGCCTCTATTTCACTCATCCCAAAGTAGTATTGTGGGACCTAGTCTGTCCTTGCCCCAAACCAATCTTGGCACACAGTTCAGGTCATTTGACATAATCAAGTCCCATTTCCTATTTTGGATACACCAAAGTTCCCATGGTGCTCACGGAACATCCCCCATTAGGTAATACCTAAAGTCAGACTTAAATGTTGGCCCAGAGAGGAGAGAGGATGTGAGATTCATCATAGATAGGTGATGAACTAGTCTCCTATAGCTATAGCTATAGCTGCATGGCCCTCTGCCTTGTCTCGGACTCTGATGCTCCCCTTTCCCTCCTGGCAGACTCTGGACGGGCACATGGTGGTTCGCAGCCATGCCCGCGTGTCATCCCTGACCCTGAAGAGCATCCAGTACACAGATGCTGGAGAGTACATCTGCACTGCCAGCAACACCATCGGCCAGGACTCCCAGTCCATGTACCTTGAAGTGCAATGTGAGGAATAACTGGGGAAAGACTTGGGGGCGGGGAAGAGCCCTTCAGGGTCAGGATGAGAGAGGGAAATAGTACCCAGGACCTAAGCTTACCCCGTGAGCTCTGCTATGTTCCCTGGCCCCTTTCAGAGTTCTGTCCTAAAGCCACCTGCCACACACCATCCCTAGACTTCTTACAAGCCTTCTGTGTGCTCTGAGGCTTCCTATGCAGTGCATGTGCACAGGAATACTGACGTGATCCTGACCTATCCTATACCATGTGCTAGGTCTGCTTCAAAGCATGCCTATCTTCCTAGTACCAGGAGACAGAATGGGGGGCTCCAAGATAGTGGTGGTCACCCTGATAGTCATTGTCATTTATTGCAGATTCCCCCAAGCTACAGGGCCCTGTGGCTGTGTACACTTGGGAGGGGAACCAGGTGAATATCACCTGTGAGGTTTTTGCCTACCCCAGTGCTACAATCTCCTGGTTCCGAGATGGCCAGTTACTGCCAAGCTCCAACTTTAGCAATATCAAGATCTACAACACTCCCTCTGCCAGCTATCTGGAGGTAAGTAGGAAGGGGCAAAGGGTTGTATAGACTAGGCTGTTTGATGATGGGTAGGCTTTTGGATGCAACTCACGTTTTCTATCTCACTTCTCTGGCACATCCTGAACTGGAGAGCCATTGGCTGGAGAAGAAATAGCCTCACCCCTGGTCACCTTTCTCGACTGCACCTGTGTGCTCCATGTAGCTAGACTGGGACTGGGGCCTGGAAAAAAAAACCTCTCCCATGATCCATGGGCTCTTCTCCTGTCTTATTCAAGGGTGGGCTGGTACTAATGATTTGTGCTTTACTAGTTCTATTCTTGTCTAATTCAGTAAGTAAAGATCTGCATCTGTGGCCATTTCATGGTACCCTTGTAACCCTAAAGGCTCCTTCCTTCTAAAGGTGACCCCAGACTCTGAAAATGATTTTGGAAATTACAACTGTACTGCAGTGAACCGCATCGGACAAGAGTCCTTGGAATTCATCCTTGTTCAAGCAGGTAAGTGCCTCTCGTGGTGGCTTCCACACTGCCCATACCCTTATCAGGGTAACCAGGATACTTCAAGAATACCAGTCTAGTGGGGTAAAGAAAGCCAAGGCCAACAAAGCCAGATGATCAGGAAGCAATTGGAGGTGTAAGGATCTAAATATGAGATGTACAGAGAGAGAATCATAGATGAAGGGGGTCCAGAGGACAGAAAACAGGTGACAGGATTCCTAAGAGTGAGCAGAAATAAGAGAGACATGCTTTGAAATTGGAAGTTGTGGTCCTGGGCCCAACTGGGCTCACCTGGGTCTCCATATGTGTCCTCTCCACAGATACCCCATCTTCACCATCCATCGACCAGGTGGAGCCATACTCCAGCACAGCACAGGTGCAGTTTGATGAGCCAGAGGCCACAGGTGGAGTGCCCATCCTCAAATACAAGGCTGAATGGAGAGCACTGGGAGAAGAAGCATGGCATGTCAAGTGGTATGATGCCAAAGAAGGTGAGTCAGAGCCGTAGCTTCTCCTGTAGAGTTGTATGGCCCCTGCTACTCCATCCGGGGGCACACACTTGCCCCCAGCATTCTCCAAGTCCTGCCTTGCCTGCCCATTTGAGTCAGTGGCACGCCACTCTTACCTACTGAAGCATGCCAGATGTCACCACCTGCCGTCCCATCTGGGGTCCTGCGGAATTAGGAACTGTCCCGCCCAGAATGAGGTCATGGTCATATCTCAATAGAGAATTGCTGGCCCTCAGAGCTTAGTTCTCATGACCCTGCCAGGACAAATGAGGTCATCTTGGTGGCATTCCAGGCAGAAACCCTGCGTGGGTGCTGAGCACAACCACATGAGTGCACTGCACTCCTGCTCTGCTTATGGACTTCAGGGTCTCTACCTGACACTGGCCAGTCCTATGTGGGTGTCTGTACCTAGGGAGTGTCATGTAATTATGATAATAACCAAATAAGCAGAGCCAGGGAGACAAATGTGCTCCAAAATCAATTCTATGGTATCTTTCCAAGCTAAAGATGAAGAAAATGACGCCCGGGCTACTGCAATTTAAAGGTCTGAGCCCATCCATTTGAAGATGGAATATATTTACATCTCAGTCCCCCTTTTGGGATTGAATTGAGAGAGCTCAGTGAAATCTCTTGTGTTTCTGTAGGAATGTGTAGTCCTAGTCTGGTGTGTGGAAACTGGTGTGGAAATGGGAATGGACTGGCATATCAAGTGTCACAGCCTTTCAGAGATGAGGCCCATTGCACTTTTACTGAGATTAGTTCCGCCATGAAGCTCCATCACACTGTCAGCCTGTGGGGATGGTGGGGGTGGGGTGGGGGGACTGAGAGGAATTACTGTGTAACCAGGATTGGAGAAGAAAACAGTCCTTTTAGCTTCCTAACTTCACTCTGAAATCTTATATACTGCCTCTGTGGCAGTTTGGTCCCATGTTACAATGGATGCCAGGCTTTTTAAAAATGTCTTTCTTTTAGACATCAGTTCTAGGTTTTTGACTTATTATGGTAGAATATACATAATGTAAATTTACATTTGACCATTTTTAAGTGTATATAATTCAGTAGCATGAAGTCTTCTCCACTGTCCATCTTCAGACCTTTCTGTCATTCCAAACTGAAACTCTTTACCCAGTGAACACTACCTCCCCTTTACCCCTCCTCCCTCCAGTCCCTGATGGCCACCCTTCTACTTTCCCTCTCTGGGTAGCTGATTATCTTCATTACCTTGTAGAAGTGGAATCATACAATATTTGTCCCTTCTCATGTCTCCGTATCTCATTTAACATGATATGAGATTCACCCACGTTATGCCATGTCTCAGATTTTCATCCCTTTTTTAAAGCTGAACAACATCCTATTATCCATCTTTACCACATTTCATTTATCCAATCATCCATCTGTGACCGGTCATTGGGGTTGTTTTCTAAGCTTTGGCTGTTGTGAGGACTGCTGCTGTGAACATGGGTGTGCAGGTATCTATTTGAGTCCCTGATTTCATAAATGTATCCGCCCAGAAGCTGAACTGCTGAATCAAGTGACAGTTCTGTTCACCTTTGTGATGACCTGCCAGACTGTTCTCCATAGCTTCATGTCACCAGGAGGCTTCTACTCTTTGGTGATCCATACCTTCTTCTCACAACAGCCAACATGGAGGGCATCGTCACCATCGTGGGCCTGAAGCCTGAGACGACATATGAGGTGCGGCTGGCGGCCCTCAATGGCAAGGGGCTGGGAGAGATCAGCGCAGCCTCCGGGTTCAAGACACAGCCAGTCCGTAAGTAAAGCCAGCTGCCCTGCCTCTTCCCCATGCCCACCTTCTTCTTGGGGACCCTGAGCTGGCCTGGTTTACAAGACAGCCTTTATCTTTCAGATCCCTCTGCTCATGGAGGCCCCAAATCTTAGTTCTCTAGCTCTCAGTGATGGCTGACACACTCCTTTCATCCTCTTTCTCAAAGGGGCTGGGGACACTTCCCTAGTAGTTGGTCCAGCTTGATAGAATAATAGCCAGGCATGGTGAGAGTGGGAGGGGGGTACCACGGACATGGTAATGGACGAGAGTGGGGAGAATACCGGCAGTATGTGTGGAGGAATTTGGGAGATCTGCTTTTTGACACAGGGCCAAAGAGCCCCTAAGCACCCTGTGACTTTAAAGAAGGAGATAGAGTGACAGTTCATATAATCCTTGGTGGGATTTTTGATGCAGTAGAGATATTAAATCACATGTAGGACATGTGAGCAGGAGCCAAATCCCAGCTATGCAGAAGGGGAGAGGACGGCCATGACCCTGACTCTTCTGCTCTTCGCCCTCCCCCTCCCTCCCCTATCCAGAGCATTCCTCGTGGTCTCCCTCCTCACAGGCCCTTTCCAGAGAGCTGCTTCTCCTGGTTCTGTGCAGGGCATCTCTGTATCCTGCCATCATTCCCTCTTTCCTTAAATCATGCCTGCCAGCTTTGCCCTCACTTCCCATAGCAGCCAGACTCTGGTCAAGCCCTGCTCTGGCACACTCTGCTACAGACCAGAGCTGCTGCCCTGCAGGGCTCCTGAGTCTGTCCAGCTGAAGAAGAAGCTGTAGAACCTGATTCCTGAGTGGCCACAGAGCTCTCTGGGCTCTCCCTGGCCCCTAGATTCAAAATGCACGTGGCAGAATCCTTTGCTTCTGCCTTGGAAGCCATGGGCCTGCAAAGGGACCCCCTCGCCTCTTCCCAGAAGTAGAAAAGGCTGTCTCATTCCTTCTGCAGGGATTGCTTCTTTCTGCATTTTGAAATAATTTGATAATTTGAGTTTCCAGCTCCATGTGCTCTGCGGATTCTGTTCATTTCTTTTACATCTTATTTTTTTTTCCTTGGGTCTGTCTCTTGGCTTTTCTTTTCGTCTGTGTTCCATCCATGGGAAATGCAGATAGCCCTCCTCCACGTAAGTGCCTCTTCATACCTCATTACCTGTTTCCATAGTGTTAACATCTGCTAGTCTTAGTTCTTAATTTAGTTCTGGTCCCTTTTTTGTCCCCTAGAGGCTGAAGTAGATGATACTGTCTGGGCCTTAACCACACTGACCTTAGTCTAGTTGTACCTTTGTTAACGTCTGTAGGTGACTCCAAGAGGCTAACACTCTTCCTGTTTTAGAGCATGCAACTTCTGTGTCTTTTGAAATTGTATATATTTATTAATTTTTGTGTGTGATGATCACCCTGTGGCAAAGATAATGTTTGCTGAGCCAAGCATGGCGAAAGTCTGCAGATGGTCCCTGAACAACACATAGTAGCACCACCTCGCCTGTAGCCAGGATTCCAGAAAAGTGACCACAGTCTCATCAGACCACTACTCGAAAATCCCTTCAAGGGATTTGGAAAGAATTTTCACACCCTAATCATGGAAGCCATGAACATAGGACACAGGGAGCAGAGTAACAGAGAGCTAGTCTGCTGCAGTGGGGAGTGGAACTGTGCTCTGACCCGCTTGGCCTGCGTAGACACCCTCACACGTCACTTCATTAAGGCTTGGATCTTTTTTCCTAGACTGATCTCTCAGAGCAATGGTGAGAAGTTGTATCAGAAAGACCCAGAAAGAAAGGTATTCAGGAAGTGGCATACTCTTTTCGTAAAAAGCTGTTGGCTCCTGAAAGGCACTCAGGGAAACATATCTTTTTAAATGTATTCAGAAATATTGCAGCAACAGCAAAAACTAAGTAGCTCAGTGTGGGTGTTAGATTTTTGAGCAAGTGCTAAATCTCCTATCTCAGCCAAGTTGATGTCTGAATGCACCAGCTGGGGGTGGGGAGGGAAGCATCAGAGTGGGAAATGAAGTTGTCAGGTAGGTCTCGCAGCTGTATGCCCTGGGCTGGCAGCTATGCCCGAAACGAGTTCAGAAGGGGCAGCTCTGGGTGGGAGAGCTCCTTTCTCCTGGATCCCTAAATTGGCCCTCCATTGGTCTTTCAAATGCACCTTTGCATTGCTTCTCCTCTGTGTGTGATGAATTAATGAGTGCCAGCTTTGTTACATTGAAGAGGGGAAGGCTGGGATGAGGCCTGCTGATGAATTTCTCACCAATAACTGGAGTCTCAGTACTGAATTAAGAGTAATTGTGTTTTGGACTTCAAAAGCCACAGTGGTTTTCATTCATTATCACCTCAGACCTTCTAAACACTAATTTTTAAATAGCGGAGGCTATTTCTAAAGTCAGTAGGAAAAGGTAAAGGTTTAACTAAAATTTTTAGTTTTCTTTCTTAATTTTTTTTAAAGGAGCTCTCTCAGCCTCATCATTTGTTGTCTGGTAGTATGAAAATGGATAATTAATCAAGACTCCAAGAATCCCTTTGGAGGATGGTGGCATCATCTCGCCATTCTAAGTAAATGGTGGACAATACCCCAGCACTGGCACAGAAGTCGTTGTTCTCAATCAGATGAAGTTATGGTTTAGAGAATTAAAAAGCAAACTTCTTTTGGATAATTAGAAGCAGGCATAGCCTTACAAGTTGAGGGTGCCTTTCTTCAAGACATTTAGCAGGGTGAGGTGATGAACATGTGGGAACATCACACTCTCACTGCAGAGACTTTTCTATAGTCTTTCCTTGCACCCCCTTTCCCTGCTAAGATCCCCAGAGGTATTGTTGTGAAAGCTTAGCCCCAGGCCTGTCCTGAGAAAGAATACCATCCTGAAAGAATGATACCACCGCTGTGATAAACTCCTTTTTTAGGAACTAGGAAGGACCTTCTCTGAATTCTGATTCCCACTCCAAGGAAGGTTGCCTGAAAGTATTCAAACAGAATCACCAACCTTTTAGTTGTGTGCTTGCATGGAACCTAAAAACTAATGGCTTTGGTTTCTGATGCTGGCTCATCTCAATCACTAACAGTGCACCCCTATCTTGTAAGACTGTAAGGGTACAGGGGAACCCCATGACTTTGAAGTTGGGCCTTGAGTGCACCCTCAGCCCCAAAGAAGAGAAAGCACAAAGCCAATAGGGGCTGGCATGCTGGCAGATGTGTTGGCTGCCAGACCCCTGGGTTGGGAGGTGTAGTTGGGGTCAATGTTCAGCATTAACTCATTACTTGAAGTTCATTGAGATATCTCAATAATGGGGTTGCCTTCTTGGCTCCTTAATAGACTTGTCCACATTCAGGGCCATGGACATATCAAAGCGAGGGAAGAGCAGGTCAAGCTAGCAAAAGTCATAAATACATGAAGGCCTCCTGCTTCCAAGCTGCTAGATAGAAAGCATGGCTTACCAGTTTGGAGGTTTCTTTGTATGCAGTTCAGAAATGTGTATGAAGGTAGTGAGGAAGCTACACATAAAACTCTAACCTGGGAAAATGTTCCCATTTCACATATTTTTAAGCCAAATGTCTGTATCGTGTCAAGAGACTCAGATGGAAAGCTTATAACCACTGTTTGCCTTGGGAGACGCTGCTTTCCTGTCAGAACTACCTAGAAATTATTATGAATCATTTTCTCCATGACTGAACAACACATTTGGAGAATTTCATTGCCTGAATGTTACCTCTTAATTGGCCTGTGGACCATGAAGCAAGATAGACTATTTCTTTCAGGGTATAGAGACTGCATAGGAGTCTCTACTTTTTAAAAGAGGCATCTCAAGATGCCTTTTGTTTTCTTGTGTTGTCCCCAAGTTGGCACATGCAAATATACATGAAATGCATTGTACTATATGTGATTGAAGCAGGTAAAATGCCATTCCTTTACCAGAATAATACTAACAATTATACAAATGAGATTATATATATATATATATATATATATATATATATATATAGAGAGAGAGAGAGAGAGAGAGAGAGAGAGAGAGAGAGAGAGAGAGAATTAGAGATATATTTTTGCCTGAATGAACCAATGAACCAGATCATTCAGTCATGACAGGTTAGCAGCCTGCCTTGCTCTGATCCCAGTGGTACTGTACTCTCTTGGTTTAATCTGGTGTCCATCTGAAAGGTAAACTATGGGCATTCCGGCAATGTTGCTGATGTGTTGATGCTTTTCCAAAATTCCATCTAGCTCTCAAAGGGAACTTTGTCTTGAGACAAATTCTGACTATTTGCCAGTGAAAAACTAAAGACCCATTCAGTGTCCCCATATCTTGGATGCACAACTGCTAACCATCCTTCATGCAAAAAGTTGGTTAGTATTACTCGTTTAGCCCAGTCTCAACCTTCCCTTTCTCTGGATTGCAAGAAAAACACTGAACATTATTGTCATCACTTTCTATTGCGATATCAAAATAGTCACATTCTATAGGGAGTTTTCTGGAGGAGAGTGGTGTTTTTAGTATCATCTATATGAACTTCAACCAGTCATTAAGTAGAACAAGCATCTCCATTCATTTAGTTATTAAAATTAGAGAGTGAGGCATGTAGGTTTTACTCTAAGTATGTGCCATATAGATAAATATGTACCCATGTATAAACCCATGTAGAATGTGACTTTAAAAACTGGAGTCTTTGTCTCCTCTAAATGTTTACCTTAAGCTGAGGTCCAGGTTCAACTTTCCTGCTGTCCCTCTGATCCCGTGGAGGCAGCTGGTCCTGCTGAATTGGCTATTCATTTTCAGCCTGGATTTGAGGTCTGCGGCTGCTCCTGGCTCCCTTACCTGAACAGCAAGTTTGGCAGGCGCTCAGGTTCATGGTTTGAAGTTAGGGAGCACCCTGCTCTGCTGGTCTGCTGGCCACCTGTTCCAAGCATGGTGTTTTCCTTCCCAACTTTAATTTGCTTCAGTTCCTCATACTGACACCCCAGGATTGCCTCTTCCGGTTTTCACTCATTGTCTATGTACCTCCATGATCTGTTTTCCCCTTTTTTGTTTGTTTTTTTATTCACCATTATTTTTCTTTCTTTAGCGGCTCCAGCTAGCTCTTCTACCCTTGTTCCATTGTCTTCACCAGCTAGTGAGTATTGTTTTCTTCATCCATCTCTCTGCATGTTGCTTTCTACCAGCCTCCACCCTCTGCTTACTGTTGTGTTTTTGACCAGGTGATAATTCAACTCTGTTGGCAAAAGGCCTCATCAGGTTATAAGGAAGCAAATAGAAAGAGAAACAGACACAGGGTCTCTCTTACCTCCCAAAGGGGAGAACATTGCTCTGGACAGGAAACTCTGCAGACAGACTCCCTAAGGCTGCCACAGCCAGACCTCTCCTCCAGAATTCCCAGTGGGCCAGACAAAAGCTGGTATTTTGGAGAAGCCAAAAGAATTTACAGAGAAAAATATCTGCTCTGCAGGGTCATACAAAATTCTTTGAGGTGCTGTGTTTTACCTTTTATTTTAATTGGCATAGTTGGACTCAAACATTGAAATTAGATAGTGAAGCCTACAGCTTTTGCTTTATCCATAAATGCATATATTTCTCATAAATATTTGTTGGAAAATAAACAGTGTTTGCATGCAGGTGTGACTGGCAGTAGGTGATTAGGCAAATTATTTAACCCTTTGCAAGTGAGTCTTGATTTTCTCCCTCTCTAAAATGTAATTTTTTGTGGTCAGCCTCCATCCATCCCCCTAAAGTAAGCAGCAAACATCAAAGCATTCATCAATCTCTGCTTTGCCCACCTGATCAGTACCACTGGCCCAGCAAGAATAGCAACTGGTCAGCCTCAGGCTGTGCCACTGGCTGAGTCTGACTCATGTCCAGGCATGTCATTTTGCTTCTCTGATCTTTTGTTCCTTTGGATCCCCACGAGTAGAGAGAGCTCTGGGCCTCCTACTCTGGAGTTTTGAGCCTAGTTGGGGGGGGGGAGGGGGCAGAGGAAAGTGAGACACCAGCTGAGCAAGTACAGGGTGGGATGCCAGCATGGACTTAGAGCAGCACACAGCAGCAGGTACACAGGCAGGGTGGCCCTGCCCAGCTGGCTTTCTTCTCCCTGGTACAGCAGAAGCCACTGACGTTTGGGCTCAGCCTCAAAAGGT